GGTCCCAGCTACTTGGGAGGCTGAGGCAGGAGACTCGCTTGAGCCCAGGAGTTGGAGGCTGCTGTGAGCGTGATGCCATGGCACTCTACCCAGGGAGATAGCTTGAGGCTCCGTCTCAAAAAAAAAAAAAAGAAACTGAAAAGTGAGAAAAAGCAATTAAAAAAAAAAATCTGGATGGCACCTGTACCTCAGTAGGTAGGGTGCCGGCCACATACACCAAGGCTGGTGGGTTCAAACCCAGCCCGGGCCTGCTAAACAACAATGGCAAAATAAATAAATAAATAAATAAATAAAAATAGAATCCTAAAAAAAATCTGACAAAATCTCAAAAACAGAATTACTGAAAACTAGTTGACAGTTCTATTTCTTACAAAGAATGATGAATGGGTGGCAGTAGAAAGATTTGCTTTGCTTTTTTTTTTGTGTGTGTGTGTGTGTGTGTGTGTTTATATATATTTTTTTTTTTTTAATCTTTTTTGAGACAGAGTATCACTGTCACACTGGATAGAGTGCTGGGGCATCACAGCTCATACTAACCTCTAATTTGGGCCCAAATAATCCTCTTGCCTTAGTTTTCTTTTCTATTTTTAGTGGACATGGGGGTCTTGCTTTTGCTCAGGCTGGTCTCAAACTCATGAGCTCAAGCTATCCACCCACCTCAGGCCCCTAGAATGCTGGGATTACAGGCATGAGCTACCGCGCCCAGCCAGCATCACATTCTCTATCTAAAATTTCATGGCATGTCAGTAGCAAAGTCAAGACCTGAACATGGACTTTCTGCCTCCCCGTCTGGTTGTTTTTTTTTTTTTTTTTAAGACAGTCTTACTATGTCGCTCTGGGTAGAGTGCCGTGGTGTCATAGGTCATAGCAACCTCAAACTCTTGGGCTTAAGCAATTCTCTTGCCTCAGCCTCCTGAGTTGCTGGTACTACAGGTACCCAACCACAACGCCAGCTGTTTTTTGGTTGTAGTTGTCATTGTTTGGCAGGACTGGGCAGGGTTCGAACCTGCCAGCTCCGGTGTATGTGGCTGGTGCCCTAGCCACTGAGCTATAGGCGCCAAGCCTGGTTGTTCTTTCTTCTAACAGGTTCTCAAAGGTAAAACCCAAAACTTTACTGTGGTTTAGAAAGTTGTCAAGAATGGTACTTTTGAATTAATTTGGAAAAGTTTAAAAATATTTTTCTGGGCTCAGTGTCTGTGGCTGGGAGAATTGAGGAAAATGGTAAAAAGAAGTAAAAGAATCAGAGGTTAAGGGGATTAACATGATGCTACACGGTACGAAACTACAAATAGTCCTCTGGTAACGACTTCTGCGGATTTTATAGATGTTATCCCTGACTCCTGATTATTCTTGTGGCTTTGAAAAAGTACAAATGAGAACACCTAGCTTAGCTTACTGGTCTAATTCCATTATAAATTATGAAAGGTGCAGGAAGAGCACATAATGGGGGTTACTTTGCTTGCAGGAAGATTTCTGCATAGGAAAAAGCCTTGGGCACTTAATCTACATGATGATCTGTAAGGCTGAGAGGCTGGATCATATCACTGGACTGCTTTGTGCTCCTTGGAAACTAGTGCTGAATAAATGTGAGCTAGGTGCCATCTCAGATATCCTCACAACATTCTTGTATAATGGGAAGTAGGGGAAGTGACTTCTAGAATAATTCTCAGGGACAGAATGAGGTATGAGGATCCAAAGATATCAGGTCACACATCACCTGCAGATGAGTCAGACGGCAATTAACATTTATTAAGCATTATCTAGTTGCAAGCTTATGCCAGATAAGAACTCTAGCTATAACCATGCAAAACTTCAAGAAAATGTTGCTTTACAGGACTCAACTTAGCGTAGGAACTGTTTGTATTTTCTCTTCACTGCTGTTGCTTACCATGGTCTCACTGCTTATACACTAACGGTAATTACCAAATACCTACTATGTACAAGATACCCTGTGTGTGGGGGGGGCACCTGCGGGATGATTTATAGGAGCAGCATCAAGAACTACAATCCATGCTTATGCTACGTGTCAGGCACCATAGCAAGACCTAGGGAAACGACAGACAAATACACAAACCAAAGTCCTGCCTCTCATGGCGTATAATCTAGCTGGTCAACCAGATCTGCATTTATTTTTTTTTTAGAGACAGAGTCTCACTTTATTGCCCTTGGTAGAGTGCTGTGGTTTCACAGCTCACAGCAACCTCCAACTTCTGGGCTTAGGTGATTCTCTTGCCTCAGCCTCCCAAGTAGCTGGGACTACAGGCACCCGCCACAACGCCCAGCTATTTTTTTGTTGCAGTTCAGCCGGGGCTGGGTTTGAACCACCCTCGGTATATGGGGCTGGCACTCTGCTCACTGAGCCACAGGTGCCACCCTGCGTTTTCTTTTTTTTGAGCTAGAGTCTCACTGTTGCCCTGTGTAGAGTGCCATGGCATCAACCTCTTGGGCTCAGCCTCCTGGGTACGTGGGACTATAGGCGCCCACTCTAACACCCAGCTAGTTTTTCTATTTTTAGTAGAGGCAGGGTCTCACTCTTGCTCAGGCTAGTCTTGAATTCCTGGGCTTGAGCTGTCCACCCACCTTAGCCTCCCAGAATGCTAGGATTATAGGCTTGAGCCATTGTGCCTGGCCCAGATCTGCATTTCTAGAAAGCAGGATACAACTTGATGTCAAAGGTAAATACAAATCTAGGATAGGAGAATGTTCATGTCTCTGAAATGATCTTGTGGTACTTTTAGGACCTTTCTGATCTCACTGAACAGCAGGTTTAGTGGTACAAGAAACAGTCTTTTTCTGCCCAGTACCTCCCATTCTTGGGAATAGGCAGGATCTAAATGCAGGGACTGCTGAGGTGATGAGGCCATTTCCTTCCATGTGGGCATATCCCCAAAAGGATGTATGGTTACTAGACGTGGTGGCTCATGCCTATAAGCATAGGACTCTGGAGGGCGAAGCAGGTAGACTACTTGAGCTCAGGGGTTCAAGACCAGCCTGAAAGTGCGAGACCTCATCTCTAAAATAAGCCAGGCGTTGTGGTGAACGCCTGTAGTCACAAGCTACTTGGGAAGCTGAGGCAAGAGGATCTCTTGAGCCCAAGAGTTGGAGGTTCCTGTGAGCTATGATCCCACAGCATTCTACCAAGGGTGACAAAAGTGATACTCTGTCTCAAAAAAACAAAACGAAACAAAAAACACAGAATAGTGTAATGGGAACGCAACAAGGGCCTGGGCTTTCCACTTATTTGCTAGGAGAGGGACTATAAAATAAGGATAATAATGATAATAATCCCCAGGCTCCATGCCTGTAGCATAGTGCTTACGGCACCAGCCACATACGCTGAGGCTGGCAGGTTCAAATCCAGCCCGGGCCAGCTAAACAACAACTGCAACAAAAATAGCTGAGTATTGTGGCAGGTGCCCATAGTCCCAGCTACTTGGGAGGTTGAGGCAAGAGAATTGCTTAAGCCCAAGTGTTTGAGGTTGCTATGAGCTGTGATGCCAGGGTACTCTACCCAGGGCAATAGCTTGAGACTCTGTCTCAAAAGTGAAAGAAAAAATCCCTATTTAATAAAGTTATTGAGAGGAACAAAGGAGATAATATGTACAAACTACCTACTCTTAACTCATGGGGATGTGAAGAATTATGTATCTTACCTTAAATTAAGGGTCTGAGTGCTCTCTATTGCCTAGTGGGCCTATATCATACCTCCTTATATTTATTTTTCAGGCTTATCTAGTCTGAGAGACTTCTCTTTTGTTTGTCATAAGAAGAAAATAAGCTGATCTATAGTTCCCACTCCTGCCCCTCCAAGAACTCCAATGCCAGTACTAATCTAAAGAGAAAAGGTAAAACTAGCCTGTGGCACTGAGCTACGAGCTCTCTCTCCTGGCATCTGTTTGGTTCAATAATAACTAGCCACTACCACTACACAGGGGACAAAAATATCATGAGGAGACCTACAATCAATTCTGCACTATTTAACTAAAGGTATTCTTTAGTTGCTTAAAGCTAAAATCAAACTAAATTGTCCCAAACTCAACTCTGTCACCACATCTACCCAAACAGTGCTTCATGATAGTAGACTGAAGAGAATTACTGAGTGACTATTCCACACTGTGCACTGTGCTAGGACTTACAAATACAGGATGCTGTTTACAAATAAGAATAATCATAGAGGGCGGCGCCCATAGCTTAAGCCCCAGAGTTTGAGGTTGCTGTGAGCTGTCTCAACAAAAAAAGAATAGGGTGGTGCCTGTGGCTCAGTGGGTAGGGCACCAGCCCCAGATACTGAAGGTGGCAGGTTTGAACTCGGCCCAAACCAAACTGCAACAAAAAATAGCGGGGCGTCGTGGTGGGCACCTGTAGTCCCAGCTACCTGGGAAGTTGAGGCAAGAAAATGGCCTAAGCCCAGGAGCTGGAGGTTGCTGTGAGCTACGTGACGCCACGGCACTCTACCAAGGATGATAAAGTGAGACTCTGTCTGGAAAAAAAAAAAAAATCACAGAGAGACATCAAAGGAATAAAGAGCAGGCTCTCCAAATTGCTGGTGTTGACAAATATTTGTGTTTCTAGCATTTCTGCCCTTGGTGCAAAATAAGTGCCCTTTATTGGACTATACCAGTTTGCCTCACCAAATTTGAAGAAACTATAACTTGGGTGACCAGCTGAACACAGTCATCCTCACAGACCACAGGACGTTGCTGTGGATGGAAAAGTGTTACTAAATAAAAGGAAGAAAGGGCTCAGATGAGAAGCTTTGAATATACTCACATCCTTCTCCTGGATGGTGCATTCCTTACAATAATAAGCATCAGAGACTCCAGGGCCCCCACAGATCACACAGCGCCCCTGGTAAGAGCCATAGTTACACTCATCACATATGCGCACCAGGGTGCAGGGACGCACGTAGGAGTCACAGATTACACACTTGCCATCACCTGTAAGGAAAAGAGAACGGAGTCATCTTCACTAGCAAGTACTTCACATCCACTGCCCATCCTCTGCCACGGGGAAATACACTACTTTCCTTTGATGGTGTCCTTTAGGTCCCTCCTCTACTTTCACATCACAAAACTCAGCTTATACAGTGTCCATCTCAATTCCCTGAACATGGAAACTAATTAACCAATTAACACACGTAAAGAGCTTAAATCTGGAAGATGTTATGGCTATATAATTGCTGGCAATACACTGTGTGTATGTTCAGAAAGAGTCCTGCTATTCTGGCAATTCTTCCTGTTCAAGGTGAGATGTTCTTAAAACCTAAATATAGTGGTTAAAAAGGTACAAGTTCTAGTGGGGTGATCAAAGAAGTCTTTGGTTGTATTCTAGCATTGCTGACATACTTCCAGGCACACCAATTCAAAGCCCACTCTGTGGCACCTTTGCTGACTCCACAGCAACTGGAAGTAGGGAGTGAGGGAGTGAGGGGTGGGGTGCTGGGAAGGCGTGTTCCACTCACATTTTTCACATAGTCTTCCAATGGCTGCAAGATCAAAGACAGTAAAGATAACAATTAGAATAAAGGTTTTGATGAAGAGGGTAAGTACATAAGCAGAGACTGCGGTAAACACTACAGGATTGCTACCTTATCCTCACATATTTCGAGCATCCTCTTGTATCCCTCCCGGGTCCTGGGCAATACGTGACAAGTTTCTCAGGACCTACCCTGCACCCCATCCAGCCGCCTGCGTCTGTCTCCCAAGTATGTGCGCCTGCGCTTTCTCTCATCCCAGGCCACAAACCCGCTCGCCCCACGATTCTAGGGCGGGAAACAAGGCGTCTCCAAACAACATCTTACGGAGATAATGGGAACCCCAGATACCCCAGGTCCTAATACCACTCAACCCCGCCAGCCGAGGGTAGGGCGCCGCCTCACCAACACCAGCCTGCTTGCGGCAAAAGATCAAATCTGGATGATGTTTAGCCATAGCTCCAAGCCCGCCAGACCACCAGAAGCTTCAGGAACATCCGTTCGACCTTTAACCCCCGTTGTACCTGCCTCCACGTCGCCGTGATTGGCCCTTAAGGCGTCCGTCAGCATTTACAATCGTGCCTTACCTCGCTCGCTCTCGCGCTAGTTTCCGTAGCTTCTGGCGAACCAGGTCCTGGCAGGTGCATGACAGCCTTGAAAAAAAAAAAAAACTTCCCTCACATTTAGATGGCAGAGACCACCGAGACCACCGAAATTTTCTCTTGGATAAGACATCTTTGTACCCGGTGTTTACTTCTGGAAATGTTTTTACGAAGCTCTTTTGTACGCAGTGTCAGTTGCTTACACGGGAGCTCCGCCCACTGCCTTTGCAGAACTCTGTGTCCTTAGGGAGCCCCCGCCCTCTCCGTGACGCGTCACTCTTCAGGCCACGCCCCCAGTGGAAATCGTTAAATGCGCCATGTCGCACGTCATTTTCAAGCGACTTCATCTTTGTCAGTGCACAAAATGGCGCCTTACAGCCTACTGGTGACCCGGCTACAGGTGAGCGAACTCAGGGCCCTCTGCGTTCTTGGGGGCGGGGTGCCTCTTACTGTGCCTGCGGCTGTGGGCGAGGCAGGGCTAGGCGGGCCCGACGTTGGGCCAACTTTTCGTGTACCTGTCCCATTTGGCTTGCACAGCACTGTGCCCGCTCTTCTGGTGCCCTAGGTCAAAGAGTCCCTGGCACAGTTAGCCCTCCCCCGTTCACGCCCCACGAGAAACATGGGCTCCAGCTGCAAAGGCCAGGTGAAGAGTAAAGGCACCTCATTCTCCCTCTTTAGGATCGCACTCCCCGCTTCTGTAGGGTGTCTTTCCGTTCCTCAAGGTGAGGACAAGGTGATTGGGGGGCGCGGTCGTTGTTGAGCCTTCTAGGCTCGGTGCCTGAAGTCCTCACTTCTCATCTCTCAGCAACAGAGCCTTGGCCAGCCACATGCAACCAGGTTGCCACTCGTAGAGTCTGGAGAAGAAACTAGTGCCCCTTACCACCTTTAGAAGGCCAGGAATGCCAAGGGGAAGTCGTCCAGGTCCCTACATAGAATATAATAGAGTTCATAGTTGCCTCTCACCTTCGCACAAGATTGCAGGACTGTTTTAATTCCTCCTAATATCATTTGATACTTATAATCATCTAATGAGATAGGAGTGAGATGATTTTTCTCATTTGATGGGTGCTGAAACTGCTAGAAAGTAAATGAAAGTTCTATCTTCAGAGTGTCGCTGAAGTGCTGTGCCCTGAGCATTGGCCCTACCACTCTTCTCTGTTCTCCTTTTTCACATTATCCTGCCCTCATAGAACTTTCTGAGCTATGGTATGGTCATTTGTATTTGTGAGAGTTGCAGAATACAGTATTTTGAGTTCACAGTTCCTTTTCAAAAACGTCATAGATGGAAGGGTAAGGAGACTTAACAGTTTGACCTTGACTCTCTTGTTATGAGGCATCTAGAAATCTGACTGATTGCCAGGTGTCTTTTTTCACTTCTAACTTGACAACCCTACTTAAACTCAAAGGTTCAATGTCAAACGTGTCTTTTGTTAATAAAAATGAAGAAAGCAAGTGTCTGTAGAGCTCTTTGCCAACCTTTTATGATTAACTTTGTGAATCTCCTCTTGATCAAGTGACACAACTTTCACTATGGAATTTTATTTTATTTTGATTTTATTTTGAGACTGAGTCTCACTCTCGCCCTCAGTAGAGTTCTATGGCCATCATAGCTCACAGCAACCTCAAACTCTTGGGCACAATGATCATCTTGCCTCACTCCCCCAAGTAGCTGGGACTACAGGTGCCCACCACAACGCCTGGGTATTGACTATGGAATTTTATAAGTTGTTGTGTTTTGTACTCAGAAGCATTGTGTTACTTGAAGTTATTTTTCATCACATCCATTGAATTTAAACTGTATGGGATAGTGTAAAACTATCATTTATCTGAAAGTACTTCTGATGTCAATTCTGGACAAAGGCAACAAATTTGCATGTAATAATCTCTTCAAGTCTTCTGATTCTCTAGGTTAATAATGAAGAAATAGTTGTTTCTTTTTTAATTAAATCATAACTGTATACGTTAATGCATTTATGGGGAACAGCATGCTGATTTTATAAACAATTTGGAATACTTACCTCAAACTGGTTAACATAGGCTTCACCTCAGAGTTGTTTCTGATTCTGCTTTCCCAAGATTTAATGGAATCAGGCAGGATTATTTGTTAAGAAGAATGGGCTTGGCTGTGTTGACCAGTTTGATGGAAGTATTTCAGATTGCATGTGAAAACCCCACACTGTACCCCAGAAGTGCATTAATGTACATAGTTACCATTC